GGAGGAGTAATCAGGAAGGTCAAATCTCAAGAGGCATTCAAACCTTCTAAGCTCCCCCCCCCTGCTATTTCTTCAGATTAAACTTTTAGGAAGCAACAACTGTTAAAATAACCAAGTGCTCTAATTCACTTTGGTTCTAAGACTGGGTTCATTCACCAAATAAGTGATGGTTTGTTTAACAGCACACTGAGCTAAAATCAAGTATTCCACCAGAAAAATTAAACCCGCCATCCTGGGCCCAACGTTTGGGAAGCCAGGCTCTGCCTGTCACAAGCCAGGACAAAGGGTGAGGGAAGGAGGAGTTACACCGCCCTAAAAAACGGGCTAGTAGCACCTCATAAGAGCCCTTTTCCAGGGTTACAGGAGAAGATGGTCAAGAGTTTTGAAGGCAGAAGAGGGCTCTGCGCCCCAAAGGTAGATAAAATGGCAGGACCATCTTCTAGAGGGAAACTCTGATTACAAACCTCCACTGCCTTGTGGCTATATCCGCTACTGGAAAAGGCTTCAGGAGTCAATCTCAAGGCAAAATCCGGAGTCGGAATTCCGGAAGCAGTTCGTGATTGTGTACAATCACGTTCTGGTAACTTCTGCGACGTAGCTGGAATCAATCGTATCGGCTCTGCCATTCCCTCGGAGTATTTCAGCGATGTGGAGAGGGGGGATCTGCTGCTTGGGTAACAGTCCATCCTCCATATTAATTTACCCAGGCTTCATGTTCTGGAGAGGAACACTCCAGCTTTACCTCTTTCTAGAGCATGATACCATAGTCTTTTGAGATTGATGGATGCCAATGCCACCAGAAAACTATGATGAAAAGGCTATATACTTGATTTTGCATATACTGATTGCAACAAGAATTGTATTTGCGCAACAATGGGAAAATGATAAGATTCCATCCAAGGGGAATGTAATTAAGAAAACACTAGAATGTGTAGAAATGGACAGATAAACACTTACTGTTAAGGATGAAGAAGAAACCAAATATTTTTTTTGATAAGGGACATGTTTTATCATTGTCTAGATAACAGAAACAGAAAGGAGGAGATATAAAAAGAGGAAATGGTAAAGTGGAGAGTTGTAAAGAAGAGGGCGTTAAGTATTAATGTTATTATATCATTAGGGTACTATATTTTCAATATGATGGGGATGAATATCACAACAAAGATGTGCAATATGACTAAATATAACTGTACCCACCCAGACCACACACCGTTTGATGAAAATGGAATATTATATAAATAAATAAAAATAAAACATGTAAAATCAAACAACTCGTGATATAGCACATAGATTGGGTATACCAGGGCTAAGGCAAAATGGATGCACATCTTTTTCACAGGTGCCTTCGTAGCAAATCATAATAGATGCCCATTTTCTTACCTGGAAACCAGTTGCGTAGTAATATGCTGTCACATCAGCAACACATTGCACCACTAGATAGTGTAGTTCTAATAATCCAGTCCAGAGGCAGGAAAAAAAACATAGTAAGGAGAATCATCATGCCAACTTTTCTTCAGATATATTTTGTTATGGACAGGGATGTCCCCATTCCCACAAGACCTAATCCCAGCTGA